GCCCCGCACCGTGTTCCAGGCGTGGATGCGCCGCCGCCCGCCGGCCGGCACGCCGGCGCTCGCGGAGCGCGCGGCGGCGGCCGACCGCTTCATGGGGCCGGCGCGGCGGCGGCTGGAGCGGGCCATGCGGCGCGCGTACCGGGAGGGTGGGGAGGTGCGTCGGGGCTGGGGCAACACCAAAACGGCAACAAACAGGCCCCCTTGACGCTTGCTTGGGCGTTAGGGTGTTGCTGCTCAACTGAGTCATGGATGGTTGTTGGCGTTTGCTCGGACTTCCTGACTGCCCGTGTTGGAACGGATTCCAAAGTGACTGTTTCCTCATCGCAGCAAAGGTGGGGTGAATGGCGGGCCCAGGAGCAGAGAAGCCTTCGCCACCACGACCGACCCTCCGGTAGTACTCCCTCCGCCCGCCCACCGCCGCGCCCCTTGCCTGGCCTCCCCCCCCAACCCCGCAGGAGGCGCTGGGCCGCCTGGTGCGGTGCAACAAGGACGGCTCCAAGAAGGACTTTGCGGGGGAGACGTGGCGCAAACACCTCGACTCGGAGGTGAGGCCCCCCCTTGCTTTTCGTTGGCATCCTGCGTGTACACTTCAGTCCCCTTTCCTGCCTCTGCCGCTGCGTCTGCGCCTGCCTCTGCCGCTGCGCCTGCCGCTGCGCGTGCCGCTGCGTCTGTGTCTGCCGCTGCCTTCGCCTCAGCAACGGGCCGCCCATGACGGCGGCGAGCCGTAGGGTTTGCCAGGCCCCCGCTGCGCGGGTCTGCGGCCGCCTCCCGTCCGCTGACGGGCCGCGGCCGCGGCGAGCAGGGGGCGGGGCCGCTGTCCCGCCGAGCGCCCCCCCCCTTCCCACGAGCCGCGGCGGCCCTCGCGCCCCGCCCGGCCCCGACCCGGCTCGCACACGCCCCGCACCTCGCGCCCAACACGCACCTTGCGCGGCGCAAAGGGCGGTCGACTGACTGACCCTGTGCTGCGGGAGGCTAAGGAGGTCGCGCGGCGGCTGGACGGCCAGTCAGTGTTCACCTGGATCGGGCAGGTGCGGATCGGAGAAGGTGCCCCTTGGATGCCCACAGGCGCCCGCCGGTGGCGCCCCGCAGCCGGCGGGGGCTGTGCTGCTTCCGAGGGCGGCGAGGCGAAAACGCAAGGCCTTCCTTTGATAGACGGTGGTACCCGCGACACCGCACACGCACGTGCGCACACACAGACACACACACACACACACACACACACACACACACACAAAAACACACACACACACGAACCCAATCCCCAGGTCCTGCAGGCTGAGCTGGCAGACTCGGAAGCGGACGACAGCCGGGGCGCGCTGCGCGACCACCGGCCGCTGCTGTGCAACGCTGACGACTTCCTGCGGATGGTGGCTGTCCCCAGGGAGAGGGGCGCCAACTTCCGCAGTGTGGACGGCGTGGTGACGCACCCGGACGGTGGGCGACTTTTGGCACGTGTGTGTCAGGGGGAACGAGGTGTGTGTGTGTGTGTGTAGGATGATGCGGGTTGGAGAGACACCGTGTGTGTGTATATGTGTGTGTGCGTGTGTAGACGTCTGTGTTTGTGTGCATGTGCGACCATGGTCATGTGCGTGTTTGTGGAAGGTGGGTGCGTGAGCGTGGGTGCGCTCGATATCGTAGCATGCAACGGGAAGGCGTCCTTCACGCCGCCAGGGCTGCGGGCTCACGCTTTGGCTGCGTGCACCAGGGCCGTGCAGGGCCAGCCGCGGAGGCCAGGCCGTCGTCGCCGCCCCTGACATTGCTCAGTAATTGCGGCGCCGGACGCCTGGCGTCTGCGTTTATGCGGACGCGCGCACACGTGCGCACTCACATTCTCTCTTGCATATACGCACACACAACATGCAAAGTTTCACACATTATGCAAACAGTGCACACACACACACGCACACGCGCACACACACACACACACGCTCGCACACATGCAATTTTCCCAGGCACCTGCTGCAGCGGCTCCTGGCACGCCCCCAAGAAGGTGCACCGCGGCGCCAAGCTTGAGGACGGCCTCTGCCCCGGCGGTGGCTGCGTGCACAAGCCCGGCGACGATGCCGGCGCCCCCGACGGCGGCGGCGACGATGACGAGGACGCTGACGAGGACGGCGGCGGCGGGGGCAAAGGCGGGGGCAGGGGCCGGGGCAAGGCCGCGGCGTCCGGCTCAAAGGGCGGCGGGGCGGCGGGCTCTGCGGCGTCGAAGGCGGGGGCCAAGTCCGGGCCCAAGACGCACGAGAGGGTAGGAGGGGGCGCAGCCCGGGGGACGGCGCGGCGTGGGGGCGGGGGTGAAGCTGTCTCTCGGGCCGAATGCGTGCACACGTGGTGTCGCATGCACGTCCGCAGAGGGCGGCCGAAGAGCTCCAACCTTGGCATGCCGACATGTGCGTATGCGAGGGCGAACAAATCAATGCGATTGGCGGGCGCTTGCTGGCCTGATCCTGCCCCCAGGTGGATAATTACGGTTCAGAGGACAAGGGCGCCTGGCGCGGCACGGCCATGGATGGCTGCGACGCCAAGACGGTCTGGCTGCCGACCGGGGACCTGGCCTGCCCCAGGTGCGCGGGTCCGAGGGGGCGTGGCGCGCACGACGCCTGCTGGCTGTATTTGCGGGCGGCGATGCAGGCACAGGATTGACCCTTCGCGGCGAGTCACCGTCTGCTATTTCATTGTGCAAAAGTGCAGCTTGTTTGCCACACGAGTCGGCTGCATTCTGACAGCCAAACAGCCTCAAACACGCAAAGCTGTGAGTTTCTCAACAACTTGAGCTTTTGCGTTTTTTCGTTGACACTATTCGCGCACGCGCACACACACACACACACACACACACACACACACACACACACACACACACACACACACACACACCTCTTTGGTTCCCCTTACCCCCGGAAGGTGGTGCATCACCTACAAGAAGGGGAAGTCCAACGGTCGCCACGGCTGCTTCGGCCGTATATGGCACGACTCCGTGCAGACGACAGTGGTGCGTCCTCGCCTCAACGCTGAAGAGCTGCTGCATTGCAGCTCTTGACTGCCGCGCGGCCCAGCCCGACCCAGCCTCCCCGCCGGCTGCCAAGTCGCACGCTTCGCGCGCGCGGGGCGGAAGACCCGCGCCTGTTCTCTCGCTGCGCCCTCCCCCCCTCCCTGCCTCTACTCGTGACGCCCTCCTCATTGGCGGCCCCAGCAGATGATATGCCATTGCTACATCCTCACGCCACTGCCATGACACACACACACACACACACACACATAAACACACACAATCACACATTCTCTTGTGTTGCGTCACCCCCTGCAGGTGGGCCGTGCGGAGCCCCACAACCTGCAGCTGCTGCACCCTGAGCAGGACAGGGTGCTGACTGTGCGCGAGAACGCGCGCTGCCAGGTGAGATAGCTGGGCGAAAGGGGGGCGGAGCGGTGAGCAGCTGGTTCTCATTAAGCGATCGAGGGACGGGGGCCACGCAAATGGGCTGCAACGGCTGGAAGCAGAGATCTCAGGCAGTTGGGGCTGCTGGATGGGGCGAAAAATTTGCGGGGGGGACAGGGGACTCCAGCGCAAAGGCGGCTGCGGCCCCTTGCGCACGGCTAGGGCAGGCGCGCACGGGCTTGTCCCCACACGCACATATGTGTTTGCTTCTGGACCGCCGGCCTTGACGCGCGCGGTCGCCGGGTGCGCCCCCTCGTCTCCCGGCCCCAGGGCTTCCCTGATTACTACGTGCTGGTGGGGCTGGAGGAGGGCGGTGGCCATGGGGTGTCCACCAGCAGCCTGCAGCAGAGGTACCTGCAGGTGAGGGGGGGGGGGGCCGGCGGCGCGGCGGTGACGCTGCGGCACATGGCGCCTGCAGCACGGCGTACTGTGAGGCAGCAGCGCATGGCTTAAGCAGCGCGGCACCTCGTCGCATGCCGAGCGCTGCGGTGCGCCGAGCCGCGCAGCGCTTCCCTCTGGAGCCGAACGTGATTCTTGGGCGGGGCTGGCCTTCACAGGGTGTGTGTCGCCGGCTAGGGACTGTCCTGGGGAGCGCTCCACAAGCCCATGGCACGCATCAATGTACGTCAACCACTGCGCCTTGCCCCCGGTGGCTCCGCTCCCCCGCCCCCAGATGGGCAACGCCGTGGCGCCGCCCGTCGCGGCCGCGCTCGGCCGCTGCCTGCTGCTCGCGGCGGCCGGCGCGGCGCCCGCGGGGGCGGCGGTTGTGGCGGTCGCTGACGAGGACTACGAGGCCGTGGTGGCCTCCTGCAGCGCCAAAGGAATCGGCGCCTTTGTGGACGACTACGGTCCCCCAGAGGTGCGGAGTTGAGGGCGTTGAGGCAGAGATGTGGAAAGGAGATACAGAGAGGGGGGGAGACAGAGAGAGAGAGGGGGGGGGGGTGTTCGCGTCCGTGTGTGTGTGTGGTTGTCTAAAAGTGCGGGTTGGTCTCAGTCTGTGGAGTGCATGTCGATATTTGTAAGAAGCCTTCCATACACAGAACAATTTTCCGCGTGATGCACATATGCCCACACGTGCACGCGCGCGCACTCACACACACACACATGCACACGCACACGCACATCTGCCGTTCCACATCCCCACTCTCAGGAGGAGCGTGCCGACATCTTCCGGCGCTTTGGGAACCCCTCCCGCCTGCACCTCTACCCAGACTACAAGATCAGGGCCGCGCGCGCCGCCGCCGCCTGCGGCGACGACGGGGACGATGACGAGGACGCTGATGAGGACGAGGCCGGCGGCGGCGGTTGCGGGGAGGAGAGCGGCGTCGGGGGGAGCCGGACGGGGAAGAAGCGCGCCGCGCCCGGCGGCGGCGGTGGCGGCGGCGGCGCGGCGGCGAAGCGCGTCAAGAAGGCCGGCCCGGCGGCGCCGCGTCCGCCGCGCGCGCCCGCGGCG